TGGGAGCGCTCCTTCGGAGGCTCCCACCGCTCAGCTGGGGGAAAATGGTGCCTATGGGGAAAACATCGCAAAGCGATTTTTCCCCATAGGCAACATCAGTATGCGATCGCAAAAGCAATGGCAAAAATGCCATCGCTATGCGAATTCGTTGTTAAACGGGGCACTCGTTATATGAGGCACCACTGTACATCATTAATTGAAGGATGTTAGTTTATAGTTAAATTATGTAGTTCTTTACAAGGGAGTTATTACTACATGATGGAGCGATGAAAGTTAAGACATCTGGCAACAGCTATTAATAATGATAATTTAAATGAAACCTACAAATCCACAAAAGAGATGTTAGGAGGCAATGGCCAAAATCCTGTAGCATGGCTATGCAGGCGTAACTCAACATTACTCCCATGGTAAATTACAACAGGACCAAGGCAGAACTGCTATCCACAAAGTACTTCTGCCCACACATTTGTTGCTATGGGAACTGTGTGATGTTTGCTTAGTCTGCTTTATGTAGGTATAACATCTGGCAAAGTTACGCTAACATAACTACATTATACTGTGACAAATTGGATCCTGACCAATATATGTAATATGGGAAGGTTATATGTATCTGACAATTGTGCATCCACATGTTTTTTGACTGGGGTTTTGAGTACTTTCATGCACAGTAGTCCTGATGTTGCTCTGTTCCAGATACATTACTGGTGCCAGTTATAGAGAGTGGTATGATGCTGCTCATACTGTACCTGTTTATATAACATGGCAATATTACGCTCTTAAATTTGTTTATTTTTAATTTAGTAAAAAAAATTGCCCTGTGATAAATATGATGTAGCTAAAACTCAGTGTATGGTGTTTTATTTCAATGGAATACAGATCCACCTCTGGAATTGCCATCTTTCTACATGACTCCCTCTCACCGTCAGGTTGTATTTGAAGGAGACAGCCTGCCTTTCCAATGCATGGCGTCTTATATTGACCAAGATATGCAGGTTCTGTGGTACCAGGATGGGAAGATAGTTGAAACAGATGAATCCCAGGGTATTTTTGTTGAAAAAAATATGATCCATAATTGCTCACTCATTGCAAGGTGAGGTTTTGGTCTCTTGTTTCATCTTGATTTTTTGGACAGTGATGACTAAGTATTTGGGTATTTGATAAATAGGGAAGTTTTCTCATAATACTATGTGAGCTAGGAAGGACATCTTCTTTGATATGTTCCATAACTTTTAACTTGAGGTTTAATGGTACTAGCTTCTTAAAGGGGCTTCTGAAAATGTTTGCAAAACAAGTCTTTGGATAATGCAGTTCCCACAGTCTTTTTAAAGTGTACCTGACATTTTTTTAAAAAACAAAAAATGAGATGTTTGGGAGAGAGCAGAAAGTAGGACAGACAGAATAGACTGATGTTACTGAGCAGTTTTGTTTCAAAAAATAATTTGCAGTGTGTGCTCAGTGTTTGCATTTGGAGTTTTCAAGTAGAGTGTCAGATTCATATGGTGTCTCCTGTTTATTTTGTATGTGTAAAGGAGTTCACTGCTTCCTTCCACATGTGTACAAGCTACATTGGTCTTTCTAGACAGCATCAAACCTATAAAATGATGTTACTTTAATGCTGGTCTTACATTCTCCCATTTTAGTGCCCTGACCATCTCAAATATTCAAGCTGAATCTACTGGAAACTGGGGGTGTCATGTGCATACCAGCCGTGGAAATAATTCAAGAACTGTTGACATTGTGGTATTGAACAGCTCTGCACAGTATTGTCCACCAGAGAGAGTTGTCAACAATAAAGGTGACTTCAGGTTGGTGATGACAGTTTTGAAGGAGAATAAGTCAGCTGTTCTTGAAGACTGCTTTTAACTCAAGTGTTTCTTGATCTTGTTCCCCTTCATGTTACTGATATAAAGATTATTGTAGTTCTCAGTTATAGAGGATAAGAAATATGGAGCTGAAATAATTTGTTAGGCCTGCTTGTTGTTAGAAGCAATTCCTTTGCACTATCAGAAGGTAAGTAATCAGTAATCAGAGTATAAGAACAAAGTGCTTTAAAACTTCCTTGAACTTTTAGCACCAACATTTAGAAGAACAGTTGCAATTTAATATGCTGATATTAACATACAATATTCAGCTGTGCTTTAATGTAACAAGACACTGCAGTTGACTTGAATGTCAAACTTTATCTAAGAATATAACAGCTTGGAAGGCTTATCAGTTCCTTAAAGTCGTACTTTTGACAGACAATATTTGTATTACTATAACACAGTTATGTTCAAACTGAGAATGCAATATATGGAGCGACCGCTGTCTATATCTAGGAGAGATTATTTGTTTTTGGAATTTGTATCTACTTATCTTCATTTTTCTTCATCTTTTCCCATTCTGAGCTTTTTGCTGCTGTTCACTCTTAACAGCATGTTGCCTCTGGAGGTGCCAGCTATAACAATTAAGTTCTCTTTGAGTAAGGTAACTCATTTTGAAAACTTGTGTTTGTTGCATTTTCTAGTTTTACAATGTATATGAAGTGTAGTAAACGATCACAGCCATTCTCTTTTACTGATGCTTCTTGATCTCCTTCCTTCTCACCCAACTCCTGCCACTCTCTCATAGACAGATACATACATGCATACACCAAACGAGGCAACACCATAGGATGGTCATCCCTTTGGGGGAGACACAAGGATGAGGACCAGGCTTCTTGCACAAAGAGACTCAGTCTTTTGCCTGTCTGATATTGTTTATGTGACTTGTGTTGTGTATGTGTAATTTTCTATATTGATAATTAAATTATCACTGTCTATTGTGGGAGGGGTGTGTTTTTCAAATAGAGAGGATGATGAGGGGGAGCAGGGAGCTGCCTTTGGCCCTACGCTGGGTAAAGAGATTCTAAGTGGGAAGACAATTGTATTGTCATGGGAGTGGGGAAAGGAATAGGGTCCTGGTTACCCCCAGATTGTCTCTCAACTCAGACAGACTAGATTAAAAGTGCTGCTGAATGCCAGGTCAGTGAAAAGGAAAACTTCAGCCATCCAGGACTTTATCCTGGATTAGCACCTTGACCTCACCTGTATTACAGAGATCTGGTTGGAGGAAGCTGGGGGAGGTAGTCTTTCTCAGAATTGCCCACCTGGGTTCTCTGTGCAGCAGTAGGCTAGACCTAGGGAACAGGAGGTGGAGTTGCCATTGTCTATTGTAATTCTGTCCCCCTCACCAGGTGCTCTGTCCCACAGTTTCTCCAGTTTGAGTGTGTATATTTAGGGTACGGTGCCCAGGACAGAATAAGTGGGTGCCCAAGACAGAATAGGGATTCTGTTTGTGTATTGCCCACCCCACTGTTCAAGTCTCTCTTTCTAAGCTGGCAGAGTTCATGTCAGACCTGATGCTGGAGTCCTCTAGGCTTCTGGTACTGGGGGACTTCAGTGTCTATACTGAGGCCAACTTATTAGGACAACTGTCAGCCAGTGGATGGCCTATACTGGGAATTGGACAGACATTGTGTCCCTCTTGGTTCTGTGGACTTCTCAATGGCTATCAGTACCATTGACCATGGTATCCTTCTGGACCATCTCTCTGGGTTGGAACTTGGAGGCACTGTTTCATAGTGGTTCTGCTCCTTCCTGGAAGGGTAAACTCAGAAAGTGGTGCTGTTTGATTTCCTGGCCATTGGCCTGTGGTATCCCTCAGGATTCTATTTTGTCCCCATGATTTTCAACATCTACATGAACTTATTGGGAGAGGATGTCCAGAGTTTTGGGGTTTATTTTCACCAATATGCTGATGGCACCCAACTCTGACTCTCCTTTCCATCCAATTCCAAAGAAACTGTTTTGGTTTAAAACCAGTGCCTGATATCGGTAATGGGCTGGATGACGGTAAACAAACAGACTTAATCCAAACCAGAGGTGCTCCTTGTCAATTGAAAGGCAGGTGAGAGAATAGGGATACAACCTGTGCTGGATGGAGTTTCACTCCCCTTAAAAACTCCAGTTCGTAGCTTGGATGTACTTGAGATTCATCCCTGGATGCCCAAGGTTTGGTAGTGGTCAGGAGTGCATTTGCACAGGTAAAACTGGTGCACCATTTCCCCCCCTTTCCTCGAGATGTCTGATTTGGCTACAGTGTTACATGTCTTAGTTACATCCCACTTGGATTACTGTATTGTGCTCTATGTGGGGCTGCCATTGACAACGATTCAGAAATTTTACCTGGTCCAAAATGCAATAGCCAGACTACTGACTGGATCCAGTTATAGGGAGCATATAACACCCCTTCTACCATAACTGTGTTGGCTAACAGTCCCTTTCCAGGCCCAGTTCGAAGTCTGGCTATTACCTGTAAAACCATGTACAGCTTGGGTCCAGGCTAGCTGAAGGACCGTATCTCCCCATATGAGCTTTATTGGCCCTTAATATTGTCAAAGGAGGCCCTCCTCTCGGTCCCATTGACAGCGCAGGCACAGTTGATGGGGACGTGAGAGAGTGCCTTCTGTGTGGCTGCTCTCAGGTTGTGAAATGTTCTCTCTCGGGAGGTTCAGGTTGCCCCCCCCACACACACACACATACACTTTTATTCTTCAGCTAATAGCTGAAGCTTTTCAGGCAATATTTTAAGAATTATGGCTTTTAACAATCATGACGGAATCCCTGAATGCCATTTCTTAGTTAAGATGATTTTTAACATTTTACATGTTTTTAATGTATTTGAATCAGTTTTATAGTTTAATTGTTTTAAATGTATAACTTACTGTATTTTTAATTCTCTTATTTTTAACACAGTGAGCTGCCTTGAGTATCCTTCTTAGGAAAAAAGTGACCTATAAGTGATCAAAAGTCATCAAAAGGGCAGCAATAACATCTTGAACAATAATAATCAGAATAATAACCATAACAATAATCATAATAAACATCATAGTATTCATAAAAATGTACAAAGACAAACAGGCCACAAATCACACAACCTCCAGTGTCTGTATACAAATGCCAGGAGTATGGGAAACAAACAAGAAGAACTGGAAATTTCAATTCAGGAGGGTAACTATGACTTGATAGGAATAACTGAAACTTGTGGGATGACTCCCATGACGGGGAATACAGCAACTGAGGGATATAAACTGATCAGAAGGAACAGAGAGAATAAAAAGTTAGGTGGAGTGGCAGTATATGTCAAAAATACGCATTCCTGCACAGAAATACAGGAGGAGGAGATTGGCTGTCCCATCAAAAGCATCTGGATCAATCTAGTTGGGGCAAAAAAGAAAAGGAACTTGGCAGTTGGAATATACTACTGACAGCCCAATCAAAGAGAGGAAGCGGATGAAACTTTTGAAAAATAAACCATGGTTTTCAAAGAGATACAACGTAGTAGTGATAGGAGATTTCTATTATCTAGATAAAAGTTGGGAGTTGAAATTCCTGACTTGTGTGGCTGATAATTTTCTCCTACAAAAAGTGGAGAAAGAAACTAGAGGATTTGCTATCCTTGACTTGATTCTGACCAACAGAGATGATTTGGTGGGGGAAGTGGCAGTAAGGGGAACTCTAGGCGAGAGTGACCATGTCCTAGAATTCTTGATTTCAGAGGAAATAAAAGCAGAGTGTAGCCACACACCTCTGCTGGATTTTTAAAAGCCAATTTTAATAATCTCAGAACAAGGATAAGTAAGGTACCATGGCAGAAGATCCAAACAAGACAAGGAGTCCTAGAAGGGTGGGAGCTTCTTAAAAGCTTAAAGGCACAGCTACAGTACAAACAATTCCAACAAGAAAAAAAGGTGGGAGTCGGCAAAAAAAAGTCCAGTGTAGCTTCACAAAAAGCTTAGGGAGGATTTGAAAACCAAAAAAGACATGCACAGGAAGAGGAAAGCCAGGCCACCAAAGATGACTACAGACAAGTAGCAAGGAAATGCAGGGATGGCAATAGCAAAAGCTGAGAATAAGCTGAGGTTAGTAGGGATACTAAAAGCAATAAAAAAGCATTATTCAGGTATGTGGGTAGCAAAAGAAAAAAAAGACAGTGGCACAGCTCCGCAGTGGAGATGGAGAAATGATAACAGAAGACAAAAGGCAGAGGTGCTGAATTCCCATTTTTGTTCAGTCTTTTCCCATAAGACAGACTATGAGCTTCCAAACAAAATGGAAGTGGAATTGGGGGGGGGGACAGGACTGCAGCTGGAGACTGATAAATAGATAGTCAAGGAATACCTAACCAACTTGAAGAAGTTCAAATCTCCAGGGCCGGATGAACTGCATCTGAGAGTACTGAAGGAACTGGCTGAAGAACTCTCAGAACTGCTACCCATTATTTTCTTGAAATCGAGGGAAATGAGTGAGGTGCCAGAGGACTGGAGGAGGGCCAGTGCTGTCCCTATCTTCAAAAAGGGCAAAAAAAGAGGAACCTGGGAACTACAGGCCCGTCAGCCTGACATCAATCCCAGGCAAAATTCTGGAATAGACTGCAAAGTGGTCATTGTGCAAGCATCTAGAAAACAAGGCAGTAATAACTAGAAGCCAAGATAGATTTGTCAAGAACAAATCCTGCCAAACAAATTTGATCTCGTTTTTTTGATCAGGTTTCCTCCCTGATAGACACAGGGAATGCTATAGACGTAGTATATCTTGACTTCAGCAAAGCTTTTGACCAAGTGTCCCATGATATCCTGATTAGCAAGCTAACTAGGTGTGGGCTGGATAGATCAAGTGTCAGGTGGATACACAATTGGCTACAGAATCGGACTCAGAGGGTGATAATTGATTGGTCCTTCTGTAACTGTGTGGAGGTCACAAGTGGGGTATCCCAAGGCTTAGTA